CACACACACACACACACACACACACACACACACACACACACACACACACACACACACACATCGGGAGCATTCAGCCGGAAGACAACAGCTGATGCGCTGGTTCTTACTGGTCGCTGCTGGTTGTTGTTTGGCAGTCAAAACAACTCAAAGACTGTGTTGTTGACGTCAGGAATGATAAGAGTGCTGGCCAACCCTTCAGTGTCTTACAGTTCAGTTTACACCAATCATCCTAAAACCAGTGGTTTCACTAAATCTCTAAAATAAAGCAGATCAATTTCAATTCAATCCTCAAATTTATTTTGCATGAAGAAACCAGCTTATCTCAAACTCTGTGAATATCTAGGTTTTTCCTCATCAGTGTGCGGTGTTTAATCACCAAACACTCCCTGAATCACAGTAAAGGGTGTATTTTGGAATGATAAAAGTACCTGCATATGTTTTTAGCAAGACGGTCTTCATGAAAGGTAAAACAGAATCTGTCATACTTTCTGCACTTTGTACGTCAGCTGCACACAGTCTCCTGTTATGGGTTTAGGAGTGGAGTGAGGGAAATGCAAAATATGATTTGAACAGTATAAAATGAATGTAAACCTATGTAATGTCCCCACTTTTCACAAAAACAAATGTGTGTGTGTTGTATTATGTGCGAATCTGCTATAGGAGTTTTTGTGTAAAAATGATTTTAAAACTCAAAATTTGACCCGTGTGAAGTTTACAACCTTTAAAATAGATTTTTTCTAACGTTGGGGCCATTTTAGCTAGTAACCTAACTATACTGATAAAAAACCTGCCAAGTTTTTCTGCTGTTGGTGCTGTAGATGCAAGAGAGAGATTACACCCAACATAAAATACTTGTAAAACAGTGATGCATATCAATATCCAATGACTAAATATATTGCACAGGATATTTAAATGCATGTATATTGCAATATAAATCGACATATTGGAGTATAAATTTACATATACTCACCGGCCGCTTTATTAGGTACACCTTACTAGTATATGGTTGGCCCCCCTTTTGCCTTTTAGAACTGCCTTAATCCTTCATGGCAGAGATTCAACAAGTTACTGGAAATATTCCTCAGAGATTTTGCTGCTGTTGATTTGTTGGCTGCATATCTATGATGTGAATCTCCCGTTCCACCACATCCCAAAGGTGCTCTATTGGATTGATATCTGGTGACTGGCGAGGCCATTTGAGTACAGTGAACTTATTGTCATGTTTAAGAAACCAGTCTGAGATGATTGAGCTTTGACATGGTGTGTTATCCTGCTGGAAGTAGCCATCAGAAGATGGAGACACTGTGCTCATAAAGGAATGGACATGGTCAGCAGCAATACTCAGGTAGGCTGTGGCGTTGATGCTCAATTGGTACTAATGGACCCAAAAATGTGCCAAGAAAATCTCCCCCACACCATTACACCACCACCACCAGCCTGAACCACTGATACAATGCAGGATGGATCCATGCTTTCATGTTGTTGAGGCTAAATTCTGACCTGAGCGTCCGAATGTGTCAGCAGAAATGGAGACTCATCAGAGCAGCAACGTTTCTCCAATCTTCTATTGTTCACTTTAATAGTGATCACTTAAATCACCTTTCTTCCCCATTCTGTCTACATGCCTAAATGCATTGAGTTGCTGCCATGTGATTGGCTGATTAGAAACTTGCGTTAACGAGCAGTTGGACAAGTGTTCCTAATAAAGTGGCCGGTGAGAGTATATTACACAAGTTGCATATATTACCCGTATTGCACTTAATCCCTTTTGTGTTGTTGTTTTTGTTGTTGCTGTTTCTGTAAGTCCACTGATGTTGAGTCGTGTTCTTCTTAGTGTTTGAGGAGGATCATCACGGAGACACCGAGTTTTCTGCCATGTCTGACAGTGACCCGTGTGAAGACAGTGACGGATTCCCGCTCAATCTGTCCACCAGCGGCAGGAGAAGCGGCTCTTCTGCCAAACGCCGGCGGAGAGGAAACCTTCCCAAAGAGTCGGTTCAGGTTCTGAGAGACTGGCTGTACGAGCATCGCTTTAATGCCTATCCGTCAGAACAGGAGAAACTGAGCCTGTCCGGACAGACGCATCTCTCTGTCTCACAGGTACACACACTTTACACTTCTGCAGATTTTTGCATTACAGTGTGTTTCTGTTGAAGATGGCCTTAAGTGTTAAATATGGCAGAAACACAAAATTACTAGCATTAAACACCGAGGGAAAACCAGATAGTTCAACCTAATCTGTGATTTTATAACAAACACAACAATTAAGTGTGAAATTTCACAGTTCCAAACCATTTTTAAGTGTCCTAAATATAATTCTTTTGAAAATTGCCTTTATTTGTCTTCAGCATTATTGTAATGTACCAGTTGAAAATAAAAGATGAAATGAGATTTAGACCTAATTATTTTTTTCCTGTGCATTTTCAGTGAAATTATTTAGAGCTGCATTTATAAATCGTCTGCACCACAGGTGTCAAAGCCAGTTCCTGGAGGGTCGCAGCTCTGCACAGTTTAGTTCCAACCCTGCTAAAACACTTATGCCGCAGAACTACATGGAGTAAACAAAAACAAAGAAGATGGAAGTCAATGGGGCAAAAACCGCCAACAACAGAAAATTAGGGAGAAACAAATGAAAATTAATCAAAAACGATGTGTAAAAAAGGCGACATTATTTAACACGTCCAAGAATTTGATTAAAAGATTTTAAAAACCCAGTCCTCAATCCTTTCTATATTAATAATACCTAATTTTGTTTTTGTTTTGTTTTTCACCGATCCAGTGATGTCATTTATGAATTTGGCAATTAAATAGTTCATTTATGAATTTGGCAATTAAATAGTTAATGCTGTAATCTTCTAAATTTAGTAGTTTTACTCAGGACGAAGGTTGATTTAACAGATTTAATTAAAGGAATTATATATATATATATATCTATATCTGATGCATTTTTACAGCAGTTTAATTCAGTTGTCATCCTGAACATAAGCAAAGTCAATTTGAACTGTTCACAGGGTTCGTACGGGTGCTGGAAATCCTGGAAAATGCTTGATTTTTAATAAAATGTTTTCAAGGTTAGAAAAGTGCTTGGATTTTGGACAAAATGCTTGAATCTGCTTGAATTTGAAATTGCAGAGCTTGTATTTGCTACCGTCTTTGTTGCAAATGTGCCCAAAATTATCTATGCGAGCTCAAAATATATTTGGGAACATTTGTGCATAAAGAGTGCATAAAATTGCCGCCGTGCGAACAGTTTTCACTGCAAAATGTTCACTGCATGCGAGTATTTAGGCGACATTCATGCTGAAAAATGCCAAACGAAGCGCTCAGGAATGGTTTAAAACAGACATGTCAACTTGCTACTACAC